TTCTTTCGTCCATTATGTTGCCGTTATTGGTATACTTATATACGATCTCGAATGATATATGTCGCAGCGTTCAACCACGTTTACGAAATGCAGGGATTATGGTGCATGATAGGTGAATGGTTTCGAACTGCGAGTTTTTACAAACATTGTGGTCGTAGAAGTGTATTTTAGCAATGAATTAATTAGCTATTCAAACAAAACTTTTTTCTTTGTATAATTTCAAAATCTACATGGAACGAAAATATTTATTACCTTTACGCTATGTTGGTGAAAACCATTATGTTCAGCGCATATTCATATTATGATTCTAAAAGCAGTCCGATGCTTTTACCTATTCACCCACATGTATGTTTATAATGAATATAAAGAAATGGAATTAATTTGATCCTGGATCCGTTATATGAATTATAAAATACAATGGACCAAAGAATTATTATAAAACTAAAATGTACCTCAATTGAAATAAGGAAATTTGTATATATATATATTTAAATATCACTCACTTATTCACTCACTGAAAATTTCAACGACAAAATGAATAAACTAAAAATTTGACATAGTTAAAGTTTGACAAAGTGGTTTCTCAAATATTCTATATTTGCAGTAAATGAGGATTTCCTAAAAATTGCATTTTTTAGGCCTGGAGACATTTTTCGAATGGATGTATAATGGTTCTTACTTTTTGGTTACCTAGGAAATATTTTATTTTAATTGATATGTTGATTTTAGTAATTATCGATGTTTTCATCGGTAATTATATAAAAATATAAATATACATAAATTGATATAATATAAATAAAAAATATATATTACATTAGGATATCGGACGATTATGCTTTATTTTCAACCTAAGATAATTGCCAGTTTTATGTATAAGCTACACAAGATATAGTTTAGGTTCACCAAATAAATTGACCAAGTGAGCATTTGTCATATTCCACATTACATTGTAATCGTTATAACTTTAAAATCACACGATCAATTTTATATTTGATTTAGCCTCCCTAATTTATTCATTCCAATATGTAATTAGTCTTGTTTATTTTTACCTAATTGCTTTGTTATAATGTGCTCAACAAAGGCAGAATAATAATAATAAAAAAAAAAAAAAAAATTATAATTGATTCATAAGTTTATAATAATAATAATAATTCAATATATTTTAAGTTTGAACACGAACTTCAGTATAAAAAATAGATTTAAAAATATAAGTATACGGGAAATCGACCACGGGTTTTAGTGTGCCAATCGAAAAATGTTTCTAGAACACTCAGCCTCTCCAACCTATGGAGTATTTGATTTTTTCGACTCGAACACGACGACGTACAAACCGAGCAACACTGCTGTCGAGAGGGGACCGGAGTTCTTCCGACAGATCGCTCCACTCCCATGTTGATACGCCGTTGTTTTACGTACGTTCTCGCCTTAACATTTCCAGCAATCGTATTCGACGGATCCCATATGACCGAGTGATTGAATAATAACCGACTCATGCGATGTATCACGGTACATAAACGCACTTCAAACTCTATGCGACAGCTACGAAAAATTTCGATTAGTAACGATAACGCTCCGGAAAACGCATGCAAAAAATTCAACGAATGATATGCGACGAATTACAATCCAATTAGACGATGATCAAGCACTCACATTGCTGTACCTGCAGTAAATGCGTAGTAATTATTATTTAATGCATTTATACGTTTAATTATTACAAAAAAATAATGCGAAATCTATTTCTATAGAAATATACGACCTTGGGTAGGTACTAAATAATTTTCATCAGAGAAATTCTTCGGACACATTAGTTCAACGTCCATCCAACGAAATTGCGATTATTATATTTTTTTTTTTTTTCGTATAAAACGTAACAGATCCTATGGTTGTACGTTGTAGACCGTTCTGCATTTTCTCTCCTTAAACGGCTTACGGACTTTACTCGTATATTACAAGCCGGTCGATGTTTGTGTTTAAATTATTATGTTAATTGTGCGCCGCGCGTACACGAGAGGCGATCATCGGGCCGCAGCAGCGCGTGGTAAACGGCTATAATATATGCTTACAGATCGAGTCGATAACGAGGAAAAAACCGTACGATGAGAAGTCTATGGAAGTCATAGAGGTACGGTGCACGCTCACGGCGTTCACCCACAGTCAACAGCTATCGATATCGGTTTTTATTATTTTCAATTCTTGTGCAGCTCATCGTATGTGTGTGCGCACGAGGTACACGTCTACCGCCACCGGCCTCAAGTCATCACGTTCGTTTGTCTAGAACGCGGCAATCGAATAGTATTACGTGTACACTGGCGTGATAGTCGCATACGCCACAGCGGTTGAGTATTAATATTACCAACGGAGTCCGCGGTCGCATCGTCGTATTATGACGGAAGAACAATTTTATCATACTCGCTCCTCCGATGTTCGCTTTCTGGACGACCGATTCCGCGATCAGTTACGATGCGCGCAGATGCGCACGCGCGTACGGGTGTACCACCCCCTCGCGTGCGTCGAATCGGGTAATAACGTGTGCACGCCGTGGAGCGCGGGTTAACTTGAAAATAATAACCGTAAAATCGGTGCTCGGAATGGAAAATCGTGTTTTATCGTCGGACGTTCTCGTGCGTAGGTGGTCGTGGACGAAACAAAACCGCATTGTGAACGGTGGAAACCCAAGAGCCGGATGTCGGCGGCGGCGTATCGTGAAAATGCGCAACGGCAAAGGAAACGGACCGTTTTGTTTGGCGAAAAGTCAATAAACGGTGCGCGGATCGTAACGCGGTCCGGATCATTTCGAGCCTTATAGCGTTGGTCACGCATCGTTTGCGTTACGGCGTGCGCGCGCGTAACTCTTAAGCGTCTGTACGGATGTTGTCGGGCGAACAAAAATAAGAAAATTCGGAAATTTCACAGTGCACGGCGCACAATATCCTGGCACTATCACGGCACTACGACCTGCGTTCGGGGTGCTGTTGCCGGATAGTCGACACTAACCACACACAACGTGGGATACCTAGCCGGGCCGTCGTCGTGGATCGACCCACCCCCTGCGTATAGGAAACGTGCGCATTGTACAATAAGTTATACACGTATATAAAAGTATTTATATATACGTACAATGTGTGCGCACGTCCGACCCGGGGCGACAGTCGAAAATAAATTACTCTCGATCTACGAGTTATGATAAGGACGCGACGTAGCCGTTGCCGGAGCGAGCAAAGACCCCTTGATAAATTATAATAACCGTAGTCGTCGTTGTCGGATTGTCGATTGGTGGTACACGCACGCGCAAGTACACGAACATCTGTCCGGTTGGACGGGCTAGTGGAAGACGAAAAAACCGTGCAGGGGTTCCACCTAACGTTTATCGTCTACACCCGGTACATGTGAACGCTTGCTGCATTCCTCGGACTCCACCACCGCCCACCACCCTAATTTCTTCCCCCTACCCACTGCCTCTCGACAACCGAATGTATACTACGGCGTTTTTAAATTTACGTGTGCCCGTGTGTTCATTTGGTTACGTGCGCGTGCGTGCGTATCTATACAGTGAGATTCGTTAAACGAGAAAGAGAACGGAGAAGGAGACATAACGATGCGTTTTTAATCGCGTATTCTCACCCGTGACATCCCGTTAGAAAACGTCCTGCAAGAGCACCACACTGTACCCACATCTGCATGTATCGTACGATACTTTCCCGCATTTGAAGCCTGATCCACGTCGATATAACCGCCCTGTATACCGAGGTGTTTACACGTCTTACGGTCGCGCGCGGACGGCGTTCGGGATAGTGTGGACGGGTGTAGAACGTGAATGTACGCCGAAGACACCATACTTTTTTTTGGTATACAACGTACGTCCGATTCTATATGGCTTGATAGTAAAGGACGATGAGGACAATTATTAATATATTCGCACGTGAAACTACGTGAAGTGACCTTATAATATTGTAAACGTTGCGGAAATTGAATACGAACCCGAACAAGATGCAGCCATTGCTCGAGTAATTAGTTACTTCGCAGGTATAACAAATTATGATGAAAAAAATATAAAATTAATCACTTATATATCTTATGAATTTTTACTTTTAGTAAACTTAAGTGTTTAATTTTGCGTTATTATGTATACACGTGCAATATGACAAAATACAATAAAAAAAAGGATATGTATACACGCACGTATGTCAATCTCTGTCCACACGTCCCCTTTGTCCCGTCCTTTCGCCACATCATTTCCCAAGTCGTGGGTGGCCCCCGCAGTTACTGTTAATCAACGCACACGATTACGTTTCTCGTGGATACGAATCTAATAATTATTAATTTATTTGCAAGAAGACCAATTGGGGAGGGGGGGGGGAGCAGTACACAATTTAACGAAAACTACAGTTTAATAGCAACGTTCACGACGTAGAATAAACAAATCGTACAAATATATAGGTAACACCGGTAGAAGAGATTATGAAATAAATAATAATCTCTTGAAAAACGTGTACGGAAGAAGTCGGCAAGATCGTAAACATCAGTTACTACTCAATTGATCATTAGCCGATTTAATCGATCGGTGTGCACATATTCTTCATTCGTAAACTTTCGATAATCCGACACCTTTCAGTGTCAGTGTTCAAGTCGAAAACTCCATCGTGTTGCAATGCAGTCCCCGTACGCGGCGAAAGCAACTATTCGTTTAACCGTGCGACAAAACGAACGATAACGAATTAAACAATAACCGAAGTAAAGTTTTTCGTGAAATCCCATTTGAAACGTTGCGTTCAGTGCCGGCGACCTTTTCGACGGATCGGACCGATGCGCTACGGCGAAACAGTACTCCGGCACTCCCCTCTCCACGTATGCGTACACTATTGTAATATAATCGAAACGCGCCGCAGAACGCATTAATGTATTATAATATGTAATCCAATACGACTAATTTTTTTTTTTCTTTGTTTGCTCTACGCCAACCCCCCCCCTCCGTGCGCACCCGGTGTACTCGGTTAAATTAATTACAATGTACACGCGTAACAATAGGTGTCCAGTGTTATTACCGGGCACGCGGATAGTGTTTTAATCGCGTATTTATATCGCACTATCACTAGTCCGTTCGGTTCATCTCCGTTTCGACCGTTCGTCTCGTCGAAAACGATCCATCGATATTCGTACGCGTTGACAATAATTTCGAATGGATAACGACATTCGCGCTGAACAACGCAATCGTTACAATAATTAATTGTTGTGCACGCGCACGTCGGTCCGTTCGTTCGATTCAGCCATATTTTTATCTGGAAACAAAAAAAAAAAAAAAAAATTAAAAGAATTAAAAAAGACCGATGTTTACGTGTTTATTATATGATAAGCGAAATTTAAACTTGTCAGTTAATAATATCACGTCCGCGTCGGCTTACGCTGACTTTTTTCGTCCTCCTCCCCCGACCAGTAGGTGTCGAATACCGTCTAAGCAAATATTTTACCGAAATACGGGCGCGTACGCGTTAACGTACGACACAACACGTTCGATGCGTTGTGGCTGAGTGTGTACGACCGTTTTCCTACTCCACTAATCTCCGTTCCTTCCCTTTCTCGAGTTTTTATTTTAATTTTGTTCACGTGAACAGGTGAGAGATAAAGAAGATACGAGACACCGTTGCATTATTTTTGTATTTTCTAGTTCTGTCCGTACACCGTCGTCCGTTTAATAATACACAAAGTGCCTCGAGTGCAATGGTGGCGTGCGTGTGCACATACATGAACAATGAAATACGACGAAATCGATAACAGTCTCGAAATTGCAGTATGAATCGTTCCCGCTAATATGACCGGCGACAACCGTTTTAATTCGCGTTGCAAACTTGCAGCGTTTTTAACGGCATCACTGCAGCAGTGCGTACGGCAAATATTAAACCTATTCCCGAGTTAATCACTATTGTCTAAAAAAATTTTACATATAAATCGTATAATAAGATGGACTCGACCACGAAAACCGTTCAAGTGATAATTATTATCCACCACGACTTTATCTACATCAATTTTTCATATAATAATATAAATACCGTGTAAAAATGACTCCTTTTTTTTTTTTTTTTTTTTTTTTTTTTTTTTCATAATACGTGTAATTATCGGAGAAAAAAAAAATGTATGCACATACAATTGGCTCGGTCACATCGTATTACGTACACGGAGCAAGTCACATTATGTACACGTTTTTATTTCAACAATCACAAATTCACGTCTAGAATGCGGCGTTACGGCGTACTTCAGTTGTGCTTTGAAAACCTCGGTGCTGCAGCAATTGAGATTTATACAAAAAAGTCTTTCGTGCAGTGTACGCTCTTTGTACCTGTCAGTAAAAATAAATTACCCCACTCCACTGTTCGATAAAATTGTTACAATCCGGGAGCGTATGGGTTACTGTGGAAAAAAATAAAAAAAAATAGTGTTAATAATTGATTTATATACGTTGAATTTTTTTATACCCAGTAGACGTTTTTCTCTGCGAGTGCATGATATGAATATATTTCTCTGTACATACTTATGTGCACGTACGTGTGTCCATCCGAACGGTCGTACGATGTTACATGTTTAGTAAATTAATAATAATGATAAATTATCCGTCTCGTCCCCTCCTTGACCAACCCCACGTTCGCTCATCACTCGTATACATATACACACGAGTGACGTTTCGGGTCGCTGTTAATTTTTTACTCCTGCGCTAGACGAAATGCCGTTTTTTTATAACATATGAATATGAATGAGATGGTATAATATATATATATATATATATCATTATTATTAATTTTATTATCATTATCATTATTATTATTATTATTATTATTATTATTATTATTATTATTATTATTAT